ACGCACACATACAAAATTCAGAAACGCTAGGGCACTTCTCTCATATTGATTGGCTGCAGACTAAATGCAGACAAAACAAAGTGCTTGTTTGTACAACTTTATGAAAGTGACTACAACAGCCTTCCCCAACTTCCTGCCCTCCAGATGTTTTAGATTTCAATTCTCACCAGCTCTGGACTTCATGGCTGATAATCAGGAATGCTGGAAACTGTAGGGTACACTCTGGGAAAGCTGAATGACAAGATGTAGTGACAGATATCAGAGTGGATAGCTTTTTTAAAAGGTTAAACGAATTCATGGCTCATTGGCTAACAGACATGTCCACCTAATGCTCATGGTAACACACCTCTAAGTACTAGGTGCTGGAGAACTAACAAGAGGATGTATCCATTACCTTCATGCTCTGTTCATGAGCTCCTGAGAGATTATTATTAGAGTTATTAGAAACTACTATTAGAGAAGAAGAAAAAAGTGGTGCTGGATGGCAAATGGCAAAAAGTGCACTGTCTAAAGCACTCTGTCAAAATGCCTTCCTCAATACCTACGACATCTTCTGTTCAACAAGAGCCTCCTCTTGAGGTTTAGGTCCTAGAATTTACATAGGCATCCTGGTACTTTCCATATCTTTTTAGCTGTAACTTATATCATCCCTGGCCACCAGTTGTGTTGACTGGAGTGCATGGAACTTGCAATCCAAAGTATCTGGAGGGTGTCAGCTTTCCTATATCCTATATCTGACCTAGAAAATTTGGGAACAGAACAATGGGCTGGATGGAGTTTTGGACTAAGCCTGTGAAGAAATGCACACTCAGGAATTGCATGCAAAAAGATAAATCTCCTTCATCTGTGAAGCACACAGCACTGATACATCTGTCAGTCACATGTTACGGGAACTGAATGGATTCCCAGTAGCCAATCACAAAACAAGGGCAAGGCAACACAAACAAATGATTTCTTGGGGTTTATTGTCCAATATCCCATTATTGTTTTGTATTCTTTTCTCTCCCCCTGGACTCTTTCTTGTAATATCAGTTGAGTACTGCATTACATAATCAGCAGCACAGGAAATGACTGTCTGGCCACAACCTTAATCTCAACAATTTGGCAACCACCAACTTGGTCTCTGTAAGTTTCAGCTATGCAGAAAAACCAGAGAGAAAATCCAGATGTGACAAGTGAAGAACCAGATGTGTGTTAAGTTAGCGCCTAAGACTTGGTGACCAAAGAAAAAGCACCTGGAGTAGGAAAGGTAGTAGACCCCCCACCCCAAGGGGAGGAAGACAATGGACGATGGAGGGGAACAGCTGTGATGTTCATCCTTACTATTTGTGTTGATTTTCTATTTCTATATTTATATAGCACCATTAACTTACACAGCACTTTGCAGAATATAAAACAAAAAGAAGAGTTTGCTATTTTAATAAACATTTTGATAGGAAGATTCCACAAAGGAGAGAAAGAAAGGGAGGCAAGAGAGAAGGAATGAAACAGGGTTTTAGATGGTAGCCCCTTGTAGAGTGGCTGAGCAAAGGCTTTGTAGGTAGTGTGCTCCCAGATTCAACCTCCACTGAAAAATCAGGAAAGACCCCTGTTCAAAGCCTTGGAGAGCAGCTGCTATTCAGTCCTGGCCCAGCTTGGACATGGGTCCTCTCTATCAGAACAAGACAGCTTTGGCTGTTCATGGCCCTGTGCTCTCAACATGTATTCATAAAATCTGTCATTTGCCTTTTACTAGAACACGTTGTGACTGCTACAGATACAGGTCTTGAGTTGGGAAATTTTGCTTTGTTTGGTGGCGCTTAAGTTTATTAGAGAAGGAAGTGCCTGTCAACAAACCTGCAATCCCAGCCGGAAGCTCCACCTTGCTGAGAGTGGAAGGACGGGTTAAATTACTGGAAAAGCCTTGATTGCATAAAGAAAGCAGGGAGAAAAAGATGCCAGTAGGTGGATCCAAAAACAGCATGATGGAACCTGAGACAGTAGACCGCAGAAGATCTACTCTAAAACTTTTCAACTCTTAAAAATACAAGCAAATCCCAAAACACGACAAAAACAGACTTACCTAAAACAGTCCAGGGCAAAATGGTCATTATGGACAATTTCTGAGGAGAGACATTTCCACCATCTCGTACATAGCACCCCTCTGTCCTGGAAATCATGACCTCTGTTCTAGAAGTGTGGTGATGAGGGAAAGAAATCCTGTCCTGCTCTGAGGCACCCTGCTGTTACTACATACATGCAGGAACAGGACTCTGTTTTTTTATAAACAGGTTATGTCACTAAGGCCTGGATATAGTTACTCCCTGGAGGGCATACCTAGAAGGACTAGTGCATAGGAACTCAGAGTTAAGCATGTAAGAACAGCCATGCTGGATCAGACCAAAGATCCATCTAGACCAGCACTCCGTAAACACAGTAGCAAACTAGCAGCTTCTCTCTCTATGTACTTACTGATTCTATTTTTAATAACACTTTCAAGCAGCTTAACCAGAACAGAAGCTAAACCAACTGGCTTGTAATTCCCTGGACTTTTTGGTGTTACATTAGCTATTCACCAACCCTCTGGTACAAGGGCTGATTTTAGGAACATATTAAATATTTTGGTATGAAGGTCAGCAATGCTGTGTTTTGAGTTATTTGAGTACTCTAGGATGGATACCATCTGGACCAAGTGATTTACTGACTTTCAATTTGTCAATAAACCTGAGACCCCAAAATGTCAAGTACTTTAAGCTAGCATTCCTTATTTGGGAAGCAGCATAAAGTGGGACCAGTGGCAAAACAATTCAGTTTTCCCTCTTTCCTTTTACTACAAGTGCTTCTGCTCAGGATCTGAGCCAGTCATTCCCTCCCTTGCATTCAGTTTTTCTTGTTCAAATATCATTTCATGTTCTGTGATTACTGAAGACATCCAGTCTTAACTGAGCTAGTTTAGAAATTTTTGTTCGCTCCCTGCATTTTTTGTTTGCTTTTTAATTTGTACTTTTGCAAGCCTCAGGATTTTCCAGACTATGCCAATACCTCTGCTCTGGTTTCTCACCTTCCTGGTAGGGCTCACAGCTGCAGCTTCCTGTTAGGAGGAGTGAGGAGAAAGAACAGGCCTCTGTTGTTTTGCAGAGTAAGTGTCACTTTTGGAGGTTCCCAAGACATGGTTTAATCTATGAGCCTCTTCTTCTATTACACATATATGTGTTATTATAAGCTGAGGTAACTTTTGGGTATTTAATACTGAAGTAATGGTTTAGCTTTTAAGAGTATACCAGAAACGACAGAGACTCACTCTTATTTTAGCCAGTAGCCACATATCCATTTGCTATCTACATACATGTAGGGGATGTATGTGTGCATGTAAATGACTATTTCCAACTCTGTTAACAAAAGGCATTTATTTGTAGGATGTGTATGGAACATGGCCTATTTTATTCCATCTTGTGTCATGTTCTAATGCAGGAATGGGCAACATTTTCCTATCAGAGGGCCAATGTGTGAGCCAGTGTGGTGCAGTGGTTAAGAGCATGGGACTGGAACTCAGCCAATCTGGGTTCTAGTCCCTGCTCAGCCATGGAGCCAACTGGGTGACTTTGGGCAGTTACAAACTCTCAGCCCAACCTACATCACAGGGTTGTTGTTGTGAGGATGAGATGTAAGCTGCCTTGAGCAGCTTTGTAGGAAAAAGGCAAGATATAAATCGAATGAATGAATGAATGAGTAAAATGTGACTCTGGACAGGCATGCCAGCAGCAGAGGGAGTCACCCCAACAGGCTTGCTGTGGTCCCCTTCTCAGAAATGCAGCCTGCACTGGCTTTACTTGCCCCCCAAGCCATCATATTGGGAGACAAAGGGTGATGAGGTACCATGGAAAGGCAGCTCCCCATTGGATGAGGGGTGATCAGAGCAGACTGATTTGCTGTCTCCAGGAGCATTTTTGGAGGTGGCAGCTGAGCCAGGAGCTGTTCTCCCACCTTCTCCCTTCTTAGAGGGAGCTGGCAAATTTCACTGCAAATTTGGGCTCCACATTCAGCACAAGTGCCTCAGGCTCCCTGTAACTGTTTTAACACAATTGCTTTATCTTGTCTCTCATGTAATTACATGGCCATTTATTACAGTCACTGTAGCTTCCAGCTTCTTACTGAGCACTTCATTCTCATGGCTGTGCCGTTTGTTGGGTGACAACACAAGATCTATTAAAATGGAGCCAGAACTTCAGATGATCACAACCCCTAACCATTTGGGCAAACATGAGAGTTGAGAGCACTCCTGGTGTAGACTCCTCTCTGAAACTAAGTCAGTTTGTGCCTAGCAGATTCCTGGATGGGAGAGTACCAGGCCCATTCTGGGATCTTTGGAGGAAAATCCAATGCATTAAATAGGAAGCGGAAGGAGAGAGTTGATGGCAAAAGGGATGGTGAGATGACAAAGGTCTGTGAGAACTGGGGAACGCTGCTCTTCAGCAACAAACACCTTCTATTAAAATGTATTACATTCAACCATGGGTCCTCAGACTAAGGCCCGTGGGCCGCATGTGGCCCACCATGCGCATTTAACCAGCCCACCCCACAGGTTTTGCACTGCAGGGCACACGGCTTGCTCATGAGGAGGTAGTTTTTGACTAGCTCGGGGAAACGATCTCCTCGTGAGCAAGCCGGCGCCTTGCCGTGAGTGCCTGGGGGCAGCTTGCTCGCAGGGAGATCGTTTTGGACTCTATCAGAGAAAATGATCTCCTTGCCTCGCTGTGCGCTGGTGGCGGCTTGCTCACGAGGAGGTTGTTTTGAACTCAATCTCCTCGAAAGCAAGCCGGCGCCTCACCCCGCACACGTGTCGCCCCCTCACCGGCCCACGCCCCCCCTGCCAGCACCTTCTTGGCAACCCGTGCCCACTGCTGGCACCTGTCAACTGGCCTCCTTTAGAAAAAGTTTGAGGACCCCTGGTGTACACTTTTGCACTACACTTTTGCTAGCAATGCAACAGCTTTGACAAAAAATGAAGGGAGGTACAATGTGTAAGAAAAGTATTTATTGCAAACACAATATGCACATCTTGTTTTAACTGATACCAAAAGTGCACTGTGAGCTAGGCAAAGAAACTCCCTGCCTTCCCTGAGTTCCCATTTCTGATACATTTTTTACCTTGGATCTATCCTAACAGGTAGAAAGGCTTGTGGAGGCATCATTCATAAGAGCTGCTCACTAAGTGGGTAAAATGCTTCAACAGTTTTCCTGGTCAGTACAACCCTGTGAATAAGTTCAATTGTTGGCAATTATATTTGTCTCTGAAAATACAAATCCCAAGTTTGATTCAAGCAGAAGCCTAGCTTCACTAGATGAACCACCTGCACAGTTTTGGCTGGACCCTTGTATGCTGCAGTAATGATGTGAAAAAGGAAAATAGGTCTTGGAACATACTACAGGATGGCCTTGCGGAGCTCCTGCTCCTAATTCAGGATTTTCCCCTTCCGTTTCCCTTGGTCTTTTGGGAGCTTTGTTCTGGCTAGTTATAGCCAATGGGAGCAACTGAATCTAAGGGTCACTTCTACATCTGGAAGGCTGAATCACAACCAAGCCACAGCCAATCTTCCTTTTCATGAAAACTCTTTCAGAAAAAATATACAAAGGCCATCACAATCATACTAACCCTCATCGAATTTTGTTACGGTATCCAGCAGCCACCCAAACACAGGAAGTTCCTGAAGACATTGGCTATCCATCTACTATGTCAGCAGAAACAGGAAGCAGTTCTGATTGTAAAAGGACATTTTCTGATGAATCACCAAAAAATTCAAGTGCTGTGCACAGACAGGATAAAGTACATCTATTAACAGTTTTTCATTCCTCCTTGTAGCGCAGTGAAACTGATGAATTTCCTTCTTTGCTCAGGACCAGATGATGACAAATGGCTCCCCCATCAGTAGAGAGAGTGGAATCTTAAGGATCTGAGGAAGTGACACAGGGAAGTTAGTGACAGCTGCTCAGAAGAACATCTCAGAAGCACTGTGAGAGGTGGTGGGCCAAGTCCAGATGGCTTGGGCACACTGTTGCCTTGGAGAGCTTGTGTGGTGAGCTTGGAGATACAGCCGGGAATAACTGTTGGCCCTTAATAGGCTGCATATGCTTGGCACAGCTTAGTAGGGATGTCGTAAGATGCTGCATGGGCCC